GCCCAGACCCACAAATACCTCCTACAGGGAGATGAGAAGCCGTTCTGTGTCGGATGCGACACAGATTTTACCATTAGACACATCTTAACCGAATGTCTAGACTTTGGAGAGATCCGAAAGAAATATTATAAATGCAAGAAATTGCAAGACATTTTTTCCGTCGTTGGTCCCAGCAGAATTTTGAATTTTATGAAGGCCATTGGCCTTTATGGCAAATTATAAAGTTGAATCGTATTATTTAAAATGTTTATATTAACTAGGAAAATTATTTTAGATTGAAAAAAAATATATATTTCAGGCGCGGTTCGTCCATAGAGCACGGTCGTGCAGTGCTGCCCAAAATTGTTTAATGTTCTGTTACGTAAAACACCCTCAATAATAAAATAAAAGAAGCCAGAAAAAAACACTAGCCAAATATTATATCAAAACAAGGTCCTCACTGGAGCCATAACTGTCATTTCTGTGTCTATAGCGCTGTAAAACATCTACTATGCCATGCCAAAGTCCACGCGCTTTAGCTAAACATCTTAGTCCGTCTTGGGTGTAACCTGACCTATAAATAGCTCATGGGGAAAACCTAAAACCCAAGCGATGACAACACTCGTAGCGAGTTTGGAGGTACATTAATATTAATAAGACGGCACATCTCAAATGTGATCCTGCTGAACAGTACTGAAACATAGCCCACAGTAGGCAGCCTAAAAATAAACGCGATAGACCCTACGCTATTCTTTGCCAATATTATGTGAGCCCCGGAGCAATCCATCGGAGTGCTCAAGTGAATTGTTATTGGTTTATTGTCTGTCTTGCCACTATTTTAAGTGACTCTGTGACCGTGAACCTGAGGGAGGTGAACGTGATCGTCCTATGAGTTGTGCCTTTGAACGGTTTTGTATTGGAGTAGGGAAAGTTATCACTTTAGTGTTCAGTTCCAATACAGGATGAACGAAATTGATGTTTAGCCAACAAACAAATTTAGCACTAGAAATCAAAGCCACAAGTAAAAAGAATGAAAATAAATGCACGAGGTCCTCCCTCACCAACCCAAAGATCCTAAAATTATACACCGTCTAATTTACTATGCCCTTGACTATCTTCAGCAAGCGATAGCTTAATTGTGCACGTCCACTGTTTAGCCCCACCAGCCGCCCCTGATATATTTACACTGAGTTTTAAACATTTTAACATTTCTAAGATTTAACCACTGACCCGAGCCAGCCGTACAGTAAACTGTTGTGAACAAAACTAACTTGTGTTTCACGCGCTCATATGACCTTATGCAGTTGCGAGCGCCGTAAAACCCCGTACTAAACAAACAAACAGACGCCGAAGGCGCAAAACGTGTAGTGTCACGTGTCACCGCGCCGCTGCGCCTTTTATGGCCGTTGGCTGTGAACGTTGCTCTGATAGCAGCAGTTTAGCTCTGCCTTGCTTCCATCATGTTGGCCTGTAGACTGTAGGTGATTTCATTCAGCAAGCGGAAGTCTGCCTTCGCCAGCAAACAGCTCTGACTTAATAAACCCCATTGAACATCTTTGAGACGTGCTTGGAAGGTGTGTTTTTGCACAACCATTCCCCCCAGCCACACTAGCCAAACAATGGCAAGTTACAACAAGAATAGAATGCTGTTCCCCAGGCCTTGTAATCTGGTTCGATCCATAACGAGAGTGCTTATCAAACAATGTGAGGGCGCGCGTGTGGGTGTGTATGTATGTGCGCGCGCGAGAGAGACAGACAGACTGAGAGAGAGACAGACAGAGACAGAGAGAGACAGACAGACAGACAGACAGACAGACAGACAGACAGACAGACAGAGAGACAGAGAGACAGACAGACAGAGAACCACCCCCTCCCCCAGTCGTGACGGACAGCAGAGAGAATTGAAGTATTTAGATCTAGTGGAGGCCAGGGATTGACCCAGAAAACGGAACAGGTTTCCTGCGGGGCCCGAGGTACCCGTCTTGCTGTCCCGTCTTGCAATGATAATTGCCTGTGTGCGCAGGGAGCGATTAGTGGCGCTCCAAAGACTTACCATTGTGATTGTCTACAGTGTTGGAGAATCTAGATGGTGGGTCTTACTCTTAGGCTAAGGTCTTACTGTATAACCTGTGGGTGGTTGGCGGGTGCTCTGGTGTGGTTTGCTTCTTCTTTCCTATCAAACATCTATCGTCCTTATCTCCCCTTTCTTCTTTTTTTATGTTTGTTACTCTCTTGTAACACCTCTTGTCTTCTGGCGCTCATATGACCTTATGCAGTTGCGAGCGCCGTAAACCTCTACTAAAACTAAAACTGTAACCTGCTTGGTTTACAACAAGGTCTTTGCATTGGTCAACGTGGGATGGTTCTGTGTGTACTGTGGGTGGTTGGCAGGCGATGTGGTGTGGTGGTTCGCTCCTTCTATCCTATCAAACAGCTGTCGCCCTGATCTCTCCTCCTTCTAATTTTGTGTTTGTTACTCTCTTGTAATACATACTCTATTCTTCGGCACTTATACGACCGTGTTGTGTTGCAAGTTCCTTAAAAGTCTTACTAGAACTTGCAATGATAATGGCCTGTGTCTGCAGAGAGCGATTAGAGGCGCTCCAAAGACTTACCATTGTGATTGTCCACAGTGTTGGAGAATCTAGATGGTGGGTCTTACTGTATAACTTCACTGGTCTACACCAAGGACCTTGCATTGGTCTACGTGGGCTTCTGTGTGTACTGTGGGTGGTTGGTGGGTGTTCTGGTGTGGTGGTTTGCTCCTCCTTTCCTATCAAACAGCTGTCGTCCTGATATCTCCTCCTTCTTTTTTGTGTTTGTTACTCTCTTGTAACACATCTATTCTTCGGCACTTATATGACCGTGTTGTGTTGCAAGTGCCGTGAAAGTCTAACTAAAAACGAACATACAAC